AGCAAGCAGCGCTAGCAACGCGATTCAAGAGCAGTTCAAGCCCCGGCATCTGGCTGCGCTCGGTACGCCTGACTGGTCTCAGCAGACTTGCCCCACCAGGCCGTGAGCAAGGGCAGCGGGATGAAGCCATGAGCCAGAGGGCCCTGACCCAGCTACCCTCAGGCGCTGGGGCTTTACCCAACGATGGAGGCGCTGGGAGAACTTTGTATTTGGACACGGGCCTGGAGTAAAACCATGGTGGCAGCCTCTGCATGCCCTTGTAGTGGCCGCTCCCTGAGACTTCAGCACCTGGAGTTTCCTGGGGAAAATTTCACTCTGAGCTAAATAATTAGGCCTGCGCTCCAAAACCCTCCTACGGAAATAACCCGCCGTACTCGGGTGAGCAACTGGACTGAGCGAGGGAGAAGACCCTTGCAGCCTGCAGGACCAATGGGTTGTGCTGCCTCCTCCCAGCGTGATTCCCTCCTCCATGCCGTGGCTCTGTCTGTAGCGGTTTAATAGCGGGAACATTTCTGTTCGGAGGTGACAGGCACCTGAGGAACTCACTTGTCACTGGTAAATATATATCCCAACATGTCTTTCGAGGCTGCCAGGACGACACCCATCGCCACACAAAAGACCCCTGAAAATGGAGCAGAGAGCAGCCGCAGTGAGTCTGTCCTGGTTCAGACCCTGTCCTGGCTTGAGCCTCCTGGCCCCGGTCACACGCCAGTGCAACCCCGGTGCTGCCGACTTGTTGCCTCGTGGCCCATGGAGTAATGTAGCTGCCCCTAGCCCGGCAGCCGGGGCCACCTGAGTACGGGCAGGTCGGAGAGGCGCATGGCCCACATCAGGGTTGCTATTAGCTCCTCGCTCGGAGCAGCACCAAAGCCCAGAGCCCTCTACCTGTGCACAGCAGGCTGACAACGGACGCTGTCTTGGCCTCCTCTACGTTCCCAGCACCCAGCGCGTTCCCCACCTGAACGCTGACAGCCGTGCTCAGTCCAAAGGGAACCTGAAAGCCCAAAGCACCGGTGTTTATTCACTTGCCTCGGGCAACCCTACAGTGCTATTGCTCATCCAGCCTAGGCGCTGCGTGGTCTAATAGCCCCCTGCAACAAGCCGCGGCCTGAGCTCGCGAGACGGGCGGCAAATCTCTGGGGTGCCTTAAAAGTTCAAAGCAAGGTGCGTGCATGGGGACAGGCAATGGCAAGGTGCAGCTTGAGCCCAGGGCAGGAGACGGGGCAGCTGGGGTCACGTCACCTTGCCTCAGTTTCCCTGGTGTGCTCAGACTCTTGAGCCCTTCAGAGCAGGGGGTGTCTCTTGCTGTGCGTGTACAGCGCCCAGCACGCGTGGGGACCCCGGCCGCAGTCGGGGCCGTCCCATGCTGCGGTGTAAGGATCCCATGTTCTTACCATGTAAGCGACTGTGGACACCTCGTAAACGATGGACTGGGCAGAAAGCTCCACGACGCTCAGCAGGCCTGTGGCGGAGAGGAGACGCCCGTCAGGAGCTTGCGGCCTGGTGGATCCTGCTCGGGGACACCGTCTATAGCAGCCCGGGGGGGTCCTCTCCGTCCCCCCTGCACTCACCGACCAGGAAGCTCCCGATTTCATAGGTCCACCACTCGATGCATAACATGAGCATGCTGGGCACGGCCAGCGAGCTGAAGGTATCCCACTCCTGCAGGCACTCGCTGGACCAGCCTGGGGCAAGTAGATGCCACGTGTGAACAGCCAGCCTGGCAGAGCTGGGCCACAGGCAACCAGGAAGGGAACTAGGAGCCGGGGCCGAGTTGCTGGCATCTCTTTTGCCTTTCCAGAGCAAGCGCTGTGCACGAAGCACAGAGCACGCAGCTGATTCGGCAGCGCCTGAGCTTTGAGGCGTGGATCCGAAGTCCTCGCTGCTGGGACCGTTTGTGGCCGATCCCAGACGCAGCCAAGCCTCCCGCGTGCTCAGTGAGGCGTGCAAAGCCTTTACACGGGTGGCTGGTGCCTGCTGACCTTGGCAGGACCTCGAGCGCTGGAGTGCGAGCCTGGGGTCTGTCTGCTGACGCAACCCCCCCGAGGCCATGCTAGGGGACCGGCTAGGAGGGACCTGCCGGGGGCAAGGGTGGGAGTTTCAGGGCAGCCCTGGGGAAGCAGCGAGGATTTTACAGGCAGCGGGGACAGACACGGCACCTCCCCAGGTCTCCACATGGAGCTTCTTCCCGACGATGTACAGGAACAGGAAGATGGCTTGTGTGTACTGAGCGATGGTGTTCGCCAAGGCAGAGCCCCTGGGGGAAGAGAGACCGCAAGGGACCTTCTGTGTCCTGCCGGCAGCTCCGTATCCTGCGGCGCCACGTGCTTCGGGGTCAGCTCCTGCCCTGCTCCCCCCGGGCCGAGGATGCTGCCTGGCGAACGGTCCTGCCCGCGGCACGTGTGCAGAGTACGTGCTCTGGCCACGCGGGAGGGAATCAGTCCTTTAAAGGGCGAGAAGCTGGAGTGGACACAGCAGGGCTCAGACCGGCGAGGGCGAATCCTGGCGTCCTGCAGCTCCGTACGCTCTGGACTGGGTCCTGCAGAGACCTTTACCCTGTGCCCTGGTTAAATCCCAGCTGGCCTGTGGGCATTTTCCCATCAGGTTTCCCTGGGTCCAATACTCAGTCGGGACTAACCAGTGCTTGGTGTCCTCCAAGTATTGCCTGAACCTGAACTAGCAGAATCCATTCTTTGCTGTCTGTTTTAGGTCGGGATTTGGGTATTTTGGCACCCAGCTTGGATGCCTGTAAAAGGGCCTGGTTTTGTGGAAGTGCTGAGCACTTGTCCACTCAAAAGCGGGTCCTTTTGAAGATGCCTGAAGCTGGGCTCCCCCCAATTATTCATGTGAGAGCTACATCCTGTTGCCTAGGGCGCAGTGGGAGTTTGGGGATTTCGGGACCCGTTTGAGGCTTGTGCCGTCGTTCAGAGGTCTAATCACTTCCAGACGCTACTCACGTGACTCCGAGGTCCATCGTGTAGAGGAAGACGTAGTTTGCAAGCACGTTTATGATGTTTCCAACGATGCCGCTGAGCACCTCGGGCCAAATGATCCTCTGCGGTGAAACAGAAATATGAGAAATGCGATTTCGCTGGGACTCGTGCACTAATAGGTGTGCAAATGCCATGGTTCCTAGACGGCGTCGAAGGAGTGGCAGGGCCAAGAGAGCAATAGCTGCTCTCGTTGCTGAACGCGATGTCCTGGACATGAAGGGCTGTGTGGCTAACCGGCACTTCCAGCATCGCCAAAGAAGAAATTAGTTAATTAGTTAAAACCTCTATGGTTTGCCATGTGCATTGAGTCTAATGGAAACCATGTGTGCGAGAGCCTTTCTTGCAATGGGGGAATGGACCTAGAGGTGGCCAAACACCGGCCAAAAATGCCTGCTGTTGTGTGCACGTTATGGGCACTGCCGGACGCGCGTCTTTTATGCTGCAACACAGCCCTGAGCCGGGGGTGGGTTACTGAGAGAGACCTCGGCGGTCTCACGGGATGAGATCCCTTCCCCCTCGCCTCCCCATCCACCATTGCGGCCTACCTGATTCTGCAGATATCGTGTCTCCAGCTGGTACAGAAAAGCCACCTGCAAAATAAGGGAGTTGGTGCGTGAGGTCGGGCTGAGGTGTAACAGATGTCTTCAGGGGAAATCTAGTCTTTCCTCTGGCCGCCGGCCCGGTCCAGGCATCGGCTGCCTCCTGCCAGGCTGGCTCCGAGACGTGGGTGCGTCTGAGCCCTCCTGAGAGGGGGGAGGCGTCGCGTGCGGGGGACCAGAGCGGGCAGCTTTGCAGGGCTCCAGGCGCCGAAGGAGCCACTCTCCTGTCTGCTTCCCTCCCCAAGAAGCTGCGGGGAGAGGAACTTACGGGAAGAGCCGGGACGAAAACCATCACGTAAACCTGCGTTAACCTGGGGGGAGACACAAAGCACCATCGTTCCCCCGTTGAGGGCCTGCGCAAGCCCCGTCCCCCGGGGCGCGGCAGGACCGTTCTCCCTCCTGACCCAGCTTTTCGGCCCCGTGCAGGAAGAGGCCGGCGGCCGCCCGGCGATGCCGGGGTGGGCTGGGCAGCGCGGGCTGTGCTTTATCGTGTCGCGGTGGCAGCGAGGGAGTTTGCCTCCCGGCAGCAGCCGGGTTCAGGGCTGCACCGTGCCACGGGCCACGTCTGCCAGCCTGCTCACGCCGACGGCTCGGCCCAGCCGTGAGAGAAAGGGGCGCTGCACTGGCATCGCTGAGGGCATGGCCCAGCCAATGAGGCAGCGCCACTGGCCTGGTGGAGGGCAGAGCCTGGCCAACAGGGTGATGGGGGAAGCGGTGCCCACTTGGCTGAGGGCAGAGTCCAGCCAATGGGGTGAAAGAAAAGCTCTGTGAGCCTGGCAGAGAACAAAGCCCAGCCAATAGGGTGAAGGGAAGGCTCCACTGGCCTGGCAGAGAGCAGAGCCCAGCCAATGGGGTGAAGGGAGGGCCCTGCCAGCCTGGCTGGGGCAGAGCCCAGCCAATGGGGTGAAGGGAGGGCCCTGCCAGCCTGGCCGGGGGCAGAGCCCGGCAGGTAACTGCAGGCAGTCGCGGCCTCGGTCCCTTGCAGAGCTTGCGGCTGCATCCTGTGCCTGCCGCGGCCAGACTCGGCGCCCGACCTGGAGACCTCCGGGTCCTGCCGGACCAGCAGCAGGATCTGCTCGGTGTTGATGAAGACAGCCCAGCAGGGGAAGCAGCAAAGCAGCACGATGAGGGTGCCGCGCTGCAGGATGACGCCCACCCGCTTCATGTTCTTGCCGCCGTACGTCTGCAGAGCAAGAGGGCCGAGCCCGGGAGTTAATGTCACGCCCTTGAAAAAGCCATGCCTGACTGCGCCGGCCACAGGAAAGCAGCCTGCATGGAAGAACGGCAGAGCTGTGCAGGGGGTGAGGTGCCAGCCAGTGCCCGCTGCAGCACAGGGGTCCTTCAGCATCGTGAAAAGCATGTGGAAGGGGGACTTTGCAAGGCACGGGAGACGACCCCCTTTAAGAGCCCTTGTTCCCTTCCGGTGGCCAGACTCGCTGCAGAGGCTCAGGAGTTTGTCCAGCCTGGAGGGCCCAGACCCAGCTCCTTTAGCTCAAGCCAGGAGGAGCTCAGGCTTTCCATCCCAAAGTCCTGGGCTCGGTGCCTGCTCCTGGACAGCGTTACAGCCTCATGATGCAGGCGTGAGCCTCGGTTCATTCCTGAGAGGTGAAGATATGAATCCAGCCATGAAGGGACTTTGCCCATCGCTCGGGGCAGCCAGGCACTTCAGAGCCAGTGCTTAGGCAATCAGTTAACTCCTCCTTTGCGATCCCTGGATGGAGTCCGTTCCCATGCGTACCCCGAGGGGCAAAACGTACCCAGCCCTGAGTGTCTAAGGCCAGTTGGGCTCTGAGCCTTACAGAAGCTTTTAGCCACTGGTTTAACAGCCCCGTGTAATAGGGGAGCTAATCTGATCCCACTAACGTTTAATGCTCCCAGCCTCTCTAAAGAAGAGGGGTCGGCGATCAGCAGCTATTCCCTACCTGTGACATTAATGTGTCGCATGCAGCTGTTAAGCCGTACCCCACGGAGATGCCGAGAACATTTATAACCTGGAAACAGAAAGATAAAACAGCGAGAGGATGCAAAAATGTACCTAGCTGGTGATCGCAGGCTTTGCCCACGGCTGCTTGTGAAAGCAGAAGGAAAGAGCCCTCTGTCCCAGCCTGTTGTCAGCTCCTCAGCCAGCAGCTCCCCACCGCTTCATTACTAACGTACGGGAGACGCTGGAGCTGGTTGAAACGTGGACTATGTAAAGCCTTGGAGCGAGAATACTTACAGCGATTGCAAGTGTGACGGCAGCCAGCTCAACCTTGCCCAGATGGCCGCAGAATATAGAGCTCACAATATGGATCATAAAGACCAGCAGCTGGATCAGGGTCTGGATTGAAGGGAGAGGGGGGAAAAAAACAGGCCGTGGTGACTGCAGGCTGGAGAGGAAATTGCATCTGAGGAACAAACGTGCAGAGAGGCTGCAAAGGGCAGGCTTTCGTGTATTGTACTGAAGGGCAAACAAGGCTGTGCGTGCCACCCCTGCGGGTTTGCTGAGGTCTGATCCCAGCCGATTCAAATCCCCGCTAGGTCAAGGGGGTCTTGGGTTTCTCTCTTTAGAAATTCTCTGCCAGACCCGCTTTGAGGATGTGGCTGTGTTGCAAAGTTGGTGACGGTCAGTGATCTGGTTATAGCCGCATCTCCATTCTGCTCGCGGTAATTGGAGGACCGCTGCTATTCAGCGCCCGCAAATGTGCGGGCCCCCGATTCCCATCTCTGCCCTACCTGCGTAAATCTAGAGTAGCTGCGCTGGGCCGGGATGTGCACGGGCGCGGCAGGCTGCTGTCTCCATCCCTGTGCGTGCGAGTCCTGGCACTCACTCGTGTGCCCAGCCAGGAGGGCATCACGGCCCCGCACCATCTGAACGTTTGATCTTCCATTTTGCCTCTCCCCTATTTGCCCTTTGCTAGGACAGCACAGGAGCCTGCCGCAAAAGGGAGGACAGCCTCACGCCGGGACCCCGCAGAGGAGGGGCAGCAGGAGCCTGACTTGTTCCCAGGCTCCACGTAACCTATACAGGGAGCACGAGCACTCAGCCAGCGGGAATGCCAGGTGCTGGCCGCCCGCCGCCCTTACCAGTGGCCCTGCCAGTGCCAGCAGCCTCTTCGCCTCCTCCCAGAAGTTGCTGGGAATCCAGGGACAGCCTTTCCTGTAGGTGCCAGGAGCCGAAATGGGCAGGGTGACGCTCGCAGCATCTCTGAGAGGGTCCTCGCCGGCAGGGACTGCGGGCTTCATGCTGCCTCTCTGCCTGGGCAGCGAGTGACCCTGCTTTTCACCTTGGCACTTGGTTAAGCCTGCGTGATCCGCTCGACCTAGGAGGGCAAACAATATGTAACCGCAGCGGTGTGAGGTGCTGCATGGCTGGATGGCTGTGCCCGGTCCACCGCCTCCCTCGTCCTGGCACAAGCCGCGGGGGCGATCGTTGATTACGAGGCTCTGGAGGAATGGCAGGAAGCTGGGGCGAGGGGTCTTGGTTGCGTGTTGGGTGGCATGAGGCAGGTTGCTGGGGCCGGGAGGATTCCTGCGGATGCATGCCTGGAAGTGGCGTGTTGGGTGCTGCGCGCATGGCCTGGAAACATGAGGCGCTACAAGCGGCAGCAGAGGGGATCAGAGGGCGACTCTCTCCTCCTCGTCCCAGCTCGGTGCCAAAATGGTGACCCCCCCACTTAGGAGTCGGGCGCACTGTGCCGCCATACCGCTCAGTAAGGGGCACGTGCAGGGACCTGGCCAAACCCTGCTGGCAGGCGGCAGGCCCCGCAGCTGCACGGGGACACTTGGCTGACGGAGGGAAACAAGATGCGCCTCCCCCGCTGCCTGCCCTGTCCGAGCTCTCGGGTACCGGGCTGGCAGGACAGCTGCCATCAGGGTGCGGCGCAAACACGGCGAGCACCAGGCCTGGCCTTGGAGCATTTCCTACCTGGAGTGTAGGGGTGGGCTGTAAAGGGACTTGCCCATGGCCACGCTGGAGGTCGGTGGCAGGGCCGGGAGAGCTCCAGGTCTGGTTTCGGTGATGTAGACGGGCCTTCGGCGTTGGGATTAAAGGCGAGTCCTGCCCGCACTATGACTTGCCAGGGGCAACGCACCTTAGCCGCTCTTGTAGTCCACTGGCCAACGGCCTTCGCTTCCTGCCACAGGCCCACACCGGCACGGCTGGGCCCTGCTTTGTCACACAGCAGCGACACGGCTCCCCTGGCTTCAGGGATGTGGCTTGGGTGCCTTTTGGCGCACGCGGCTTTTCCCCTCCGAGTGCAGTCGCTCAAATGCCTCTTGGGCGCCGCCTCCCCGGGCTTCGCCCTTCTCCGTAACCCTCTGCTCTGGCCCAGCTTGACCGGCCTGCTGGCAACAGGGCCTCCCCTTTGGCCTAGCTCAGTTAATGAGAAACGGGGAGGTGTGAATGGGCCAGAGGCATTTGCAGCCCTGCACCCTCTCCCGTTGCCTTTGCTCGGCCGCACGGGCCGCTGGATTCCTCCCAGCTGAGCCGTCGTGCCCGTGCCCTGCCTCGCTTTCTGCCGCCAGTGGAGCCAGTTCTGCACTCGCTCCCGTTCTGGCATGTTTTGGGGCTTACGGATGGACTGTGTTCGCCCACCTCCACCCTCCCGTCCTCTGCGTGCCCCGGCGGAGGAGGCTTCGCATCTGCTGGCTGCTTTCAGCCCACTGTGGTTTCGTAGAGCTCGGGCCAGGAGCCTTGCCATCTTCCAGCCTGATCGTTGCTGTTACGTTTCGCCCTGCTACCCCTCTTCAGCCCGACAACTGCTTAAACTAAAAACCAACGAGGTTAAGTCAGGCATCTCCCCCAGCCCCTTTCAGTAGGTAGCAGTTAAGTGTCGGTGGTGCTAGGGCCCCTGCAGCGGAGGAACTGATCTGGGGAAGCTATCCTCAGCCAAGCACAGCAGGGGACCGCCCTCCCCATGAATTCAGCCCACGGGGAGAAGCTGCCAGAGAGCACCTTTCTCATCCCAAGCCAGTGCTCGGGGCCATGCTGAACCTGTCTGTAACATCCCAGAGGGTAAATCTGCCTTGTTGCCCAGGAGAGACGATGCCGGTGCTACAATCAGGGTTATATCCCTTAGGATCACACCCATTTCCTTGTACGTTCAACCGCGCCTTTGGTTATGCTGGAAGCGTCTCCATGCAGAAACCCTGGCCAGGTAACAGCAGGCCAACTCCATGCGCCCTGAGACCCTGGTGCTGTGGCTAAAGAGCAAAGTGCTGCTGCAAGGTCCAACACAGGAGTCCTGCATGCGTGAGACTGAGCCTATTAATGCAAACTGTTGGGCAGATGACAGCAGGATACAGTAGAGCAGCAGGATCCCCTCCATCTTCACCCCTGCTACTTGGTGGCAGCATTTTGCAGGGCAGCCCAGCCGGGGGGAGTTGAGCTGAGGGGACAGGTAGCTTTGGCAGGGTTCATCTACTCACTGTTTTTGCATTTCCTGGGCAGCAGTCAGTGCCAAAGGCAGCAGGAGAACTGCACTGTCACAGGTCAGACGCACGCCGGAGTGACAGCTACATGTGACTTCCATCCTTTGGGAAGTCAGCCATGGGCATGGGCTGCTTTAGGACAGATGGCTGGCGAGCAGGCATTGCTACAGGCGGAGCAGGTGAGGACACTTCTACCGGAGGACAGCGGTTCGCTGGGGCAGGAGGGAGTCAGTGTATTTGGAAAGTTGGGTTGCTTTCAGTGTCGGTTGTCGATGTGCGCTTGCCCACTCACAGAAGAGTAGGTTGGCAGCAGAGGGAAGCCTGTGGGAGTGAGCGATGCCAGCTGCACGACTCTCAGACCCTTGCCTGAGAAAGCAGAAGCATGCATTTTGGTTGGGATAGGGCCAATTCTGCCTCAGGCAAGGGATGGACTAGAGGATCTCTGGAGGCCCTTTCCCACCCCACTCTGATTTCCTTCTGCTGTCAAGCATGATTGAGGGGTACAAAGTGGGAGCATTTGGATAAGACAGCAATGACCCTCGCAAGAGATTAAACAACCTGAATGTTTATTGGAAACCTCTGCAGCATCAAAAGAGCAGCTGACAGTAGTGCAAGAGTGAACACCGCTGGGGGCAGAGCTGGCTGAACCAGCGCCCGGGTCTGTGCACTCCAGCCAGGGCTTCCTGAGCCAAGAAACAACTTCCCAACCGTCTTAGCCCAGGGCTAGCTACAGGGGGACCCCAGAGCCAACTCTGAAAGACAAAAGGCCGTTGCCCCCATGGAGTGCCTGGGCCAACAAAGCCCGAGCTGCAAACCAAACAACAGAACAGGACACGAACAAGTGCTTCAGGACCAGGAAATGGCTGGGGACGACGGCCCAGCAGGCTCCCACAGAGGGGGCGAAAGCCCCCTGGGTCAGCATTGCTCAGTGGCAGCACAGGCCCAGCCCATTAGCACGGACAGTGTGACCAGACCACGGACCCCAAGACATGGGCCAGGATAGAGGAGCATCTCGGCCGCTCCTGCCTGC